ATGAAGAAAATATTATCGTATTTGAAGACATGTCAAGAATTTGGTGGAAATAATTTTGTCACTCCTGATTTGACTTGGAAAGGTTCAGGTAAGTAATCACAAACAATTTCAGACAGTTATATCTTTGATTATGACTATTTTCTGACCATGAAGACAGGTATACAGGGATAATTAAGTCAATCGGACTCAGAGATATTTCACTAGCAATCAACCCATCAATATATTTTTTCAAAGTTGTTGACCTCATTTTCACCAAAAATGCCATCATTTTAACAATGTTAACAATTCGGTGTCTTTAAAGTCCCTGGAGCAATCCACTTTTCCTCTTAGGAAATAGAACATGTCTCAAAGCATATTCTAATTATGCATTCAACAATATAATTAAAGGTTGCATCTTTGGTAAAAATTAGGTCAACATTTTTAGTAAAAAGTATGTTGATTGGGCCATTCCCTTTAATATCACTTAGGTCTGATTTCAATCATTATATTTACTTTTCTTGAAGATAATGAATAGATCTAAAAGATATAAGTCAGAAAATATTCATAATTCAAGTTAGAATTGTCTGAAGTTGTACAGTAGAACCTGTGTAAGTGGAACACTCTCCGTTCTGCCACAAAGCGTACCACTTAGAAGGTGTTCCACTTATGGAGGTTTTGGGTTCGCAGGGAACATACAAGATCAAATATAGGATTTATATGTATCATTGGAAATATGATTCTCCCTTCATTACAGGGCAGGTATATACCATTAATAATCCATTTAATTTACTCAAAAAGGTATCTGACATTCGTAATCCTCCTCATTCTGCCAAAAATGTTTTCTGACATTCTTAATCCTCCTAATTGTGCCAGTCTCGGGTACAAAGATTAGTCAATTAAGTTTTAAAGACTTGTTCCTACTGCTAATAATTCAATTGTTTTTAAATGACATTTTTAATCTTACTTATTAAGTTTGAAACAAACAGCAAGGGATATTAATTAGTGGTAGCATCACGTGTCCAGTTCTACAGGAGGTTAATCCAATTTTCTGAATGATAATCTTATGAAATCCTAATTTGCTGATTATCAAATTTATTATTGGTTGCATCACATGTTGATCTCTACAGGAGGTTAATCCATTAAAGTCCTAATTTGCCAATTATCACAGTATTACCTGTTTTCATACCCAGATATCATTGAAGGAGATTAATTCTGTTTACATATATCAATATTGAAATCTATGGAAATTGACTGTTCCACTTAGCAGGTTAATTTTTCAATATGGGGTGTTCACTGTTCAAGTTTGGAGGTGTTCCACTTACAGAGGTTCAATTAACATTAAGTCAATGGGTTTTTAAAACGGGACTTTGAAAAGGCGTTCCACTTGGGAGGTGTTCCACTTTCAGAGGTGTTCCACTTAGCAGGTTCTACTGTACATTACTTGTGCATGATGACCACCATAGTCTAGTTGCTCAAATGAGATCAATTGATGATTATAATGTTCAGACTTTATGTCAATGTCGAGACTGTATGCCAACCTCTCTAGTATGTGATTACACGAGATTTCATTATGATACATGTACTAAATTGAAAACTTACATATAAAATATCTTAAGTCCTATATTCTAGTAATAAATGAATTAGAATGTCACCTAACATTTGATGATGGTATGAATTTATTGATTTGGTGTCTATCAATACATGTTTCTAACTTAATGCTGCAAAATGATAAAATTCACCACATCCACTTTCTTCAATTTTCCAGGGGTAGGGCACTATAAAGTCATATTAAAATTACAAAATAGTACTTCATAACTAAAATAGATGTATTACAATACCACACATAGCTTGGAAATGTTTTTAGAATACTACTATGAGCTTTTAAAGCTGTCATATTACAAATATAAAATTGGCAAGACAAAAATTGCATATCTTTTTCCTGTTTTTTGTATTTTTCTGAGACCAATAAGGGTATCAACCTATAACTTTAGGATAGTATTCATATTTGTACTAGCAATGTATGGTGTACAATTCAGAACAATAGCTCATATATCCTTTGAGTTATGAACTAGTTTTATAGTACCCCCTAGAATATTTTCCTAGGGGGGTAAAAATGCCAAAATTTAGTGTCGTGACCACCCCGTTGAGCTGTCATCTTTTAATATCTTTATCAGCATGAAAAACTGATCTAGTAAAAATAGGTCTGTTGCTTTTTCTAAAAAATGCCTCAAAAACTTGAATTATTGGAATTGGAACCTGTCTAATTGTGATCACACCGTGCATTATCCTCTGTATTTCGACTTACATGGCAATGAGACAATAACATCAATAGAGAAACACGAAAATAATGAACGCGAGCGGCGGTGTAGACTCTGTACGCATATCCGTTAACAATTATCAATATATATCGGCAAATTTACAGTGACCGTGACTGTCTTCCATTTAGAATGAAAGATGATAGGCCTCTTTCTTCTATTTTCTCATGTAGTCGATTGGCATTTCTTATAGAAGTTCTATATTTAAATTGATTCTTTATTTTGGTTTTGTGCAGCGTGGAGTGAGCTTAACATGTAAATATGCGTCTTGTCTCCAGCATGTATTGTAATGACTTAATTTTGAATGAAATGTCAATTTTTGTTATGGTCCCGAATCGTGATATTGGTGCTTGAATGACGGAGGGGGGGGGTATTAGACAATGTTTCTTTTCACGGTGGATTATGATTAGGGATAGTTGGGGTTTATTATCCCTATGACTGGTATACTAGCTATATGATATTTTTTATTTATTTATCTATATATCTATTTATTTGTTTATTCGTTTTAATTATTTATCTATCTCTTTAGTCATGCAAATACCTTCACTTTTGTAACCGTGCCACATACACTTTTTTAGTGTGTGACTAAACATAAAACCGACTAAAGACATCTACATGAAAATAATACGATGAGCAATGCAAATATTTGATTTTGCTACCACCGTCATCGTACTCGAAGTAGTTTATCAAAAGTCCCGGGGCTTGTAGCATTGGCATAGGAAGCGTTTTACGGCGTTATTCGATAGTCTTGTTGGATTGAATAGTCAATATTACCCTTTACATTCGTCCGTTGTAAAAGGGTAGGAGGTCCTATTGATTTATGGTCCTGCCCTTATTATCTTATACACAATCAAGGCCAGTAAGGGCCGTTGAGAAAGGGGACCATAATCCCTGGGGGACCATAATTTATTTCACACCGTCTTCCCTTCTTATAGGATAGCTTCGTCATCTAAGCGCGGGGTAGTCAATAGTATTGGACGCTACATTAATTTAGTGCATTACTCTATGTTTAATCGCTGTATACTCTATGATTTATACTATTATCTTAATGAAACAAGTGGAAACTTATGTAACATTAATCAAAGTTCACAAGGAGAATAATAAGGATAGACAAATAATAGGTAAAACATTCGTAATAAAATAATTAACAAAGGGCTATATATTGACTCGCCACGTGATCAAATCTAACCAATCATAATATTGCAATGATATTCTTCTGTTATACAGGTATTCTTCCAGTCAATTAGAATATTGATACCTTGAGGAATCATCAAACTTACTTATTGATGTGTTGCATCCTATAAATACAGTTTACCGGAGCTATGCTTATGTTTAAAGTTGCTCTAGGCACATACTTGTCCTATGTTACTTATATGTTAATGGGCGTAGCTATGAGGGGGGGGGGCGATGGTTCCAATCGCACCCCCAAAAAAGAAAGAAAGCAATTTTGTAAAATTTAATGAAAAAACATTAACAAATTGTAGTTCGAAATGCTTAGAATGCACCATATACAATGTATATTTTGAAAATACTCTTTTTAGGACTCGCTTCGTTTGCAGTGATACAAACCCCAAACGTCACGTCTCCCTTGACAATTGCTGGCTTCGCCCCTGATGTTATTAATTCACTTTCTAATTTTGTGTTCAGTGCATACGATGACATGTGCGAAGATGGTATCGCGCGGTACTATCTTCAGAACATATTCTATTGTGCATAGAAACCCAAAATACCAAGCATTCAATAAAGATGAGTATATAGTTATTCAAGTAGAAACCTACGTGTAACTTCAGAACCTATTCTTTTGTGCATAGAAACCCAAAATACCAAGCATTCAATAAACATGAGTATATAGTTATTCAAGTAGAAACCTACGTGTAACTTTAGGTTTCCCGATCTAAAAATGAAATACTTGAAACTGAACGGGAACTGAAATAGTACAAAAGCATGTGCGTTCAACACGCAACCTGTTCGACTTATTTGCAAGCTCAACTCTCTCAGGTTGTGAAAACAGTAGCAGTCGCATGTTTCTATTAAAGTTTTATTGTCGCAGAGGTCTGAATTATGCAACTGATATTATATTGATCATTTATCATATATTTATCCCTGTAAATGAATCAGTTAGCTTATACATAATGGTAAACATTTATTGTAATCCCACTAATTATTCCTATTTTAAGCTTTTAAGCTAAGTTTGATAAAACTGTAAACTGTAAAAAGTGAACGATCTGCCCTTAGAATTAAAAAGGCACAAACACAAGGAACTCGTTGTACTCCTTTCATAGGAAGAGGAAATGTTTCACTCTTATGATACTTTCAGAAAGGAAGCCTGTTGTTACAATGATAAATAACATACAGTTCAGGGGTATATAGAATGCTAATTACCGCACTATCACCTTCATGAATTATTGTATTTTATTATTTTATTAGTTCATTCACATCAGTTTCCTTTTTAATAAGTGTTGTCCCCTTGTTCAAATTAGTTTTCTAAACGTTTATCTAAGCTTGACTTATATAATTCAATTTTTATTTCCTTCAATTGTTCATTACGGAAACAATTTTAAATAACTACGATATATTAAACTTTCTAAGTAGGCTATTAATCGGGAAATAAAAAGACAGACAAAGATAAAGCCCAACAAACAATACGAAATATAAAAAATACAAATCGACGATCACAAGACCGGTTTTGTTTTAGAATAAACCTACCTATTGTAGTAATGACAGTGACTGAGAATAAAAGAGCTCCGGGAAAAGTCCACTGAAACGACGGGCCCCCCTTTTCACCCATATTATCACAGTCTTTTCCATCGTAGCCGATCTCCAAAACATTTAGCCGAAAAGTTCGCAATGTTTTGTTGAATTCTTCTTCTGTTTTCGAGACAGCCAAAGTGCTTGTAACAATTTCCATGAGTCTATCAATTGTTTCATTTTCTTTTGGCAAATATTGGTCTCTTGCTTTAACACACTCCGTCCATTCATTGTGTTTTTCGAGATGCTCAAATATAAACCCACCGGCCACCGAATAACCGACCACCATGCTACAAAGCCCTATATGTGAGAACAAAAATTTGAGCACTTTCTTGCATGTTTCACCAATTTTCTTCTTCTTCTTTGGCTCTTCAGTTTCCGCCATGTTGTCAGATCTCACTTGTTGTTTGTCTTTGAATTGATTCAACAAATGACTGTTTGTTTTTTATTTTTACTCCAAAAATCTTATTAATGGAATAATAACTGATGATGCTTTGTAATTGATGTCTAATTTGTTACAATTCGTGATCCCAAAGATCGACAAGATATGTTACATCTTACATCAAGTGCCCTAACTTCTGAAGTGAACGGGTTCTGTATTGGTGTATGTACATTCCAAAGTTGAATAACCATATCAACAAATACGATTTTGCGGCGATCAATTGACCGAATCAATCTCAACATTCACTACACTGTTAGAATTTAGCAATAATATCGACATAAAGAACCATGAAATTTTAAAACCCAATGTAATTAATGAATGGTAAATAATACATTTCCCTGATGTTATTGATTGCATCTTCGCATGTATACAAAACCATTGTTTTCTATTGTATTCTTGTTGTCACTACCGAAAAGAAAAATGTAACGATATTCACATTCTAAATTCAGAATGTGCAAACATAACCATTTCCGAAAAACGAGTAATTCTACAAACAGCTAGTGAACATCGTAACACTTGAAGAAATATATGAGTTATATTCACTTCTTTCAAATTTTAGATAAAAATGGCGGGAAATATGGAATAAGCAGACGACACTTCAGCGATTGGTTAATAGGCTCCATTCACGCAGAGTTAGAGAATGCAAATTATCGTGACAGTACCTCTTGTGGATAAAAACATCAACAAACGCGTTATATTATATTGAATTTAAATAATAATGACAATGACAAGTAATCATTATTTCGTTCAAAGGAAAAGTCAATACCCGGGTAGTTCGCGAAGTAGTCGCGTTTCGTTCAGTGAAGGAGTTGCGCGCGACTCAAATTGGCAGCTGACATACAATAATATTTAGACACATGCTTACTGTATGTCCCGCTGTATGTCTTAGATAAAGTAATGAACTGATGGTATTTTGCAGCATATAAATTATTATTCGATCCAATATCAGGGTTCCATAAATCTTGATCATAATTAACCCGACCTGTAGTCATTCATTATTTATCAATTTGGCAGACAGTCGGTGTTATAAAAAAATATAAATAGATAAGCACACCGGCGACTTTTCCCAAATATTTTACATCATGTAACCATGAATTGTGTATAGCATAGATAAATCAATACACTCCCCATCGTAAGTTTGGTAACTGATTTGGTAAGTCGTTTTCGGATCAATTGTCAAAGCACATTTGTTTGACGATTTGAAAGATCAACGTCATGAATGCCATTCTGTTCGTAAGTCAAGTGAAGGTGACGAAAAGAACTACTAGTATTCGAAGCTTAATGCCGAGGATGACCTTCAATGGACGTAGGTTCACGGACGAAAGTTTTATAAAGGTACCATTGAGACACCCATAAGATTCAAGAGAGTACAGAGGACATCATCACCAGGTAAAGGGCGACATCTATAATTCACTGTTCATTTGAGATATAAAATCAAAGTTGAAATCGAAATAAAAAATTTCGGAAAAGATGTAAAATGGTGTTATAGCAGTTTGAGAAAAATTCGTATTACTCTTACACGCATAGCGTAACATGCGCCAAAACCCTGTGTTCCAAATATATGAGCAACGGTGTATATCTTGTGTTAGCCTAAGAATTGAACCACTTAATGTGATATCGACATTTTTGCTTTAGGATATTGGTGGAGATATTGAAGGTAATAAAATATTAATGTACCAACATAATTCTTTTGCAAATCAAGTAAATCACGCCACCTATCGGATATGGTGTCATTTTACATAATTGTACACCTTCTTCTATCAAAAGAGGGCATATTTGTCAAGAGTGGATAAGTTGTATATTGTATATGAATTCGCGTGTTTTCTCGTTATTAGAAAGTTTAAGCTAGCGACATTTTTCACAACGTAACAGTGAACGCAAAGCCAATGGATCAATACAATATATAGCGCATACAGAACAAGCGCTACTTAGTCTTTAGTCTACTTCAAATACCCGATCAGCTTCAGAGCTGAGTTTAACAGGAATCATTATAACTACCAATGGCATAGTACACGATGATATGTAGTCTATGCAACGGACCAAGTAAACACTGTAACCGAACGAGTATTTTTGTGAGAAAACCACATGCATTTGTATAGGGCAACTTATGCGTACATGTTGACGTTTCGATTTTATATGCATTGCTTAATTAAAGTCTCTGGATATCGGCCGGGTTAGTTAAGTTTGTATGACTTCTAGGTTCAATAGACGTTACATGGCAACGTAAATTATATTAAACAACCCATCTTGATGGTATTTTGTCTAATGACTATGGCGTCCACTATCAATATTTAATAGCCTACATCCATATCTTAATCAAACTAATTGAGCATTATCCTCATTCTGTGTCCTATATAGCGAGAAAATACCTCAACAGTCAACACACAGGCCGTGGGGTCACATGACATTGCCAAGCCAATCATAGCAATAAAATATTGTCATATGACACATAGCTTGAAAACACATTTTCGGTCGCACATTGTTGTTTACTCTATAATTGCATTTCGATAAAGTACAGGGCGTTCAATAAGTACTGATAAAATGCTGTAACTTTTTTATTTTTTTCATATATCTGACTACTTTTCGTAGGGTGCATTTTTGAGTATTATACTAATGTAGTGTAGCCAAAGGAGGTTAGTGGTGGATCAGGTCTGCACGAAAGAAGTTGCTTAAGCACCGCGGGCAATTTGTCCCACATCAATGTCATTTCTAAATAATTATGAATAACATGGTTTTCATGACTAACACTTGAATCAGTCATGTCTGCAATGTTACTGATAGGAATTCATTCAATATTTCTTTTATTGCATAAATCTGACAATGGGAAGTTGCAGCTTTTGGTCACCCCTGTCTAGGTTCATCTTCAACTGACTTTCTCCCTCTTTGAAATAGCAGAACCGGCGATACATGCTAGGGGTAGATATAGTGTCCTTCCCATAAGCTTTATGAATGTCCTTTATCGTATCCTGTTTTGATTTACCTAAGTGTATATAGAACTTGATGCTGCTTCTAATTTGATGGTGAATATTATTGATATTCTGTTCAGCAGCCATGTTGTTGATGACATAATTTCTGCAGAGTTCATGGGATGTATATTTTTCAATGATGTCATCTGAATAATCTTAAAGTGCCATGTGGTGTAATTGTATTCTTATGAATTGCTCCTTGATGTCATTTCCACCTTACAAACTGCTCTTTGATGTCATCGATAGGTGTTGCAAAGGTATCTTAGTATACAACTGTTTATTTACCATCTATCAATAATAAAATCATGTATGAAAATGTTCATATTTTAAGTCGGTTATTTTTCGTGCAGGCCTAAACCACCACGAACCACCTTAGGCTCAACCCAGTACCATCTTTCTGTTAAAAAACACTCTTGAGACTCCCACAGTACATCAGTACAATGCTCAACAATATGCAGTAGAAAAGTTAGTCAGAAATATAAAAGATTTAAAAGTTACAGCATTTTTATCAGTACTTATTGAACGCCCTGTAGATATACTTTTAGTAAAATTAACACGGTATAAGTATGCTTCATAGTCAAAAAAAGTATTGGTGTTACAGATTAAAATACAGTATAATATCTCCAAAACAGGATTTTTCAATTTCTGCACATGGAAAGTTTCTAACTAAAGTTAATTTTAAGGTAACATAAATCAAAGATCACAATTTTTGTATAATTTCTTGTTAATTATGTTGCAACATTCATTTATCAAAAATGCCAGTATTGGGTATGACTCATTTAATCTATCGAGATATCACTATAAAACAAATATAAAAAAAACAGTTTTCGAAATTGAGATTATATGGAACATATCCTAAAGCTACAGCTAAACACTCATCAAGCCATAGCTCTTATGCCATTGCATGGAAACAACTAGCTGAATTGAAAACATCTCATCCGTGTTATCATAATGATACACCAGTCCGGATCATCAGCGATGATTCCACATTGGTTAGCTGTCAATTTCCAACGTAATTTATTTGTTATGATAAAGTCTATGTCAATATTACATCGACGCAAAGTGCATTAGATTTACCATAAACCAATACTGTCATGCTAATAGCCAGCAACAATTCAGGCAGTGCATAATAATATTATGAACGAGTTTCAGATGGAATATAACAGTTTTTTACGAAGGCCCCCCACGAAGTGGGCGGAGCCATTCGTTCTATGGACCGACTGTCGACCATTCACGTGACCAAAAGTCCGCCATTATTACCTTATATGGCAAATCATCAAAGCAACGATCACGACGTCAAATGTTGTGTTTGTGATGATATGACGTTATATAACATAAACTATGACGTCAGTTACTTATTGCCCTATCAACTAAACAGACAAGAAAGCTAAACGGCACACATCACAGTGTTTAATATATTTTAATTTGTGACGTCATTAATATGTTACCTAACCAACAGAAAACAAGCAGTTACATGTAGTTTGTTCATTGTCTTTCTCTGTGGTATTTTCATAAAAAGTGGATCAGTTTTGTCAAAATAGCATTATGGCCTTCGTATTTTTCTAGTGTCATTTTCACTTGATTTTCTTGTTACATTGTCCCAAGAATGTCATTCTTTACAACAAGATACATTTATGAACATGATTTTTCTGATTCTTATTGATGTTTTTTCCCTGTATCAATAGCTGAGAAGTTTATCGATTACCCATAGTCTTGTACCAAGACCACTTTCTTCCTTATCTTCAGCTTATTTATTAATTTTAGGTACGTTTTCCGTCTAGGAATTTGATACATGTAATCTTAATTAGAGGTTCGTTTTGAAATGACGTTATCAGCCTAGGAACGTGCTAACCATGGTATTAACGGGGAATTGGTTTTTAAATGTCGTTATCCGTCTAGGAACGTGCTAACTAACAGTATGGTCTTAATTTGAGGTTCGTTTTGAAATGTCATTTTCAGCTGAGGAACGTGCTAACCAAGGTCTTAATTCTAGGCTCGTTTTGAAATGTCGCTATCCGTCTAGGAACGTGCTATTCAAGGTCTTAGATTGCGATTCGTTTTGAATTGTCGTTATTTGCGGTTCGTTTTGAAATGTCGTTATCCGTCTAGGAATGTGCTAACCAAGGTCTTAGATTGCGATTCGTTTTGAATTGTCGCTATCCGCCTAGGGACGTGCTAAGTAACAGTATGGTCTTAATTTGAGGTTCGTTTTGAAATGCCCTTTTCAGCTGAGGAACGTGCTAACCAAGGTCTTAATTCGAGGTTCGTTTTGAAATGTCGTTACCCGTCTAGGAACGTGCTAACCTTGGTCTTAACGGGGATTCGTTTTTAAATGTCGTTATCCGTCTTGGAACGTGCTAACTACTGCATGTAATGGTCCTTATTTGCGGTTCGTTTTGAAATGTCGTTATTCGTCTAGGAATGTGCTAACCAAGGTCTTAGATTGCGATTCGTTTTGAATTGTCGCTATCCGCCTAGGAAGCTGCTAGCCATGGTCTTAACGGGGACTTGGTTTTGAAATGTCGTTATCCGTCTAGGGACGTGCTAAGTAACAGTATGGTCTTAATTTGAGGTTCGTTTTGAAATGCCCTTTTCAGCTGAGGAACGTGATAACCAAGGTCTTAATTCGAGGTTCGTTTTGAAATGTCGTTACCCGTCTAGGAACGTGCTAACCTTGGTCTTAACGGGGATTCGTTTTTAAATGTCGTTATCCGTCTTGGAACGTGCTAACTACTGCATGTAATGGTCCTTATTTGCGGTTCGTTTTGAAATGTCGTTATTCGTCTAGGAATGTGCTAACCAAGGTCTTAGATTTCGATTCGTTTTGAATTGTCGCTATCCGCCTAGGAACCTGATAACCATGGTCTTAACGGGGATTTGGTTTTGAAATGTCGTTATCCTCCTTTGAACCTGCTTACCATAATCTACTTAATATGAGGTTCGTTTTCCCCTTAGGAACGTGCTAACCATGGTCTCAATTCGATAATCGTTTTGAAATGTCGTTATCCACCTTGTAAACAAAGAGGAGAAATTAATTAGTTAATCTGGTACATTATGCTGTTCGAGTATCATTAGAAATTAAAATGACGCTCACAAACACACGTTCGCAATTCACAGTTTTTAGCCGATCGTAGTTTTGGCGCATCACAATGACGTTTTTAATTGATGAGTACAGTGTAATTGATGGGAACGATTAAACATTGACACGGGGGTATTTTCTGATTCCTACCATGTTTACATTCCGTTCAAACATTCTTGTAGATCGATATATGGCATTTAGGTTATGACAATGTGCCAGAATACTTTTAATTAATATATTTCATAAATAATTAATTAGTAATTAAGTAGGAAGATGGGACTGATTCGTTCGAATTAAATGTATATGCTATTGTTGTTATTATCATCCTCCCTGCTTTACTGATAAATTCTTTCAAAATCATGCAATTTTTCACCATTCTGAGTGATTTTGGCCATATTTGGGCAAAGTTATCTAACCTGAACCCCCTTGGAACTTTTTAAAAAGTGACCCCCCCCCCCCCTTGGCAAATCCTGGCTCCTGGCCTGATCTGTAATCTTCATTGGACATGCATATCATTATAAATTCATATAAAAAATATAAAACGTTTCACATTTTAGAGGTTGTATTTTATACTAATGACTATATTGCGATTGTCTATAACATGACATCCTCTGACACCAGGGGTAGTGCGAATTTTGTCAACTAAGGTAAACTATGGGGCAACATAAATAGATAGGAGCACAGGGGCTTGATGTAACAATATGCCAGTAACAAGGGAAGAGATAGATTAGGATTAGGTGGGAACAAAGAGTCGATGTAACAATAAAGTAATGAAAATGTACAATAAAGTAATGAGAGCGTACAGGGGCGAATCTCAAAATCACAAGGGTGGGAGAGGGGGTCAAGAATGTCGCTTTTGAGGCCCGCCAAAGGGAGAGGCTAGGCCCCATCCCGATATCTACCACTATAAATGTAAGAGATAATGAGAACACACGACCGGGCTTCGTATATCAATATGCTAATGATAATATAAGATATAGATTAGGCCTATGGGTGCGGGGGCTTGATTCAACAACATGTACGTAGTATAATACCTACCTATAGTAGTAATTACAGTAACAGAGAACAACAGAGCCCCAGGGTAAGACCATTGAAAAGCCGGCCCATCCTCATTACCCATGTTCTCGCAGTCCTTCCCATCATAACCGATCTCTAATACATTAAGACGAAATGTTCTCAAAGTTCTATTAAACTCCTCTTCCTTCTCAACTAAAGTTCTTTGGCTACCCATCACCTTTACCAATCGCTTTATTGTTTCGTTCTCTTTGGGCATATACTGGTCCCTTGACTTGATGCATTCTGTCCATTCATTGTGTTTTTCCAGATGCTTAAATATGAAACCTCCGGCAATAGAGTAAGCCACGACCATACCACATAGCCCAATATGGGAGAACATAAACTTTAGGACTTTTTTGCATATAGTTCCCAATGTTTTCTTTTTCTTTTCTGTATCATCCATATCAGCCATTGTTGATTCGTTATCTCAAACTTAAATGAGGATATCCCGTTCCATCATCCGCTCGTTATTGATATAATCAAGTATCATTTCCGATGTGTCAATACACAGTATCCATTAAAATATGACTTGATTTTATATGTCGTAAATACACTGTGCCATATTCAATTCCAGCTTCTTTTGATTTAAATCGTAGAATTGTATGAGTGTCAGCTCTCTCGGTTATATCACCAAGGTTACCATGACATTCAAATGCACCGATGAACTTCAGGAATTCCACTTCAATCTGCACTGATTTTATCGACAGTTTCTTCAGCGATGTCGGATATCGCCCATCAATTCAAATTCATGCTTCGTGTCATCTCGTATAATATCTATCATTTAAGATTCATTATTGGCGATAATATCTCCCGAGAATAACGCACAATTAGGTTTCAATTTAAAGCGTTTTTCTCATGCGTGATTTGTTCGATTTAGTAGGATAAATTCCGCGAGATGGATGAATGCAGACTGTCTCTTAAAGACCTACTTAACAGGTATCGACCCCATAGCTAGATATTTTAATATCCTATGTTGATGATGTTTTTTCTGATTAACCATAAAACCCTCTACTCCCCAAGTAGATCGATTCCAATTACTCCATCATGTTCCCCGTTGTGTCGTATATCGTCCATAGTAATCTTATGTAATCATAATATAGGCACCCATCCGAGACGATATTTAGTTAACAAGCTCGGAATTGCAGGAGCGTTAATCAATATTAAACAGATTGAAAAATATTGACTGAGATGCCTATGTAAACATTTAAAACAATCCCTAAGAGACTCATTACATGTTCTCTTTGTCGTTATAAATAGAGAAAAGTTTACATTTGAATATTTATTATTGAATACATTAGAAAAGTATTGACATTAAGGCAAATGAATAATTTCCGAGACGCTATTTCTATGTTCTTTTTTTCTTTATAAATAGTAAAAAATTTTCTATGATTGCTCTCCCTTGTGGAGGAATAAAAGATACGATACAATATAACTTGTAGATGCTGAATTGGTCATGAAATTGGGACTTTTTTCATCCGTAATACATTACTTAAGATAACAAAGATGAACCATCGAAATGTGGATATCATGTGTTCAATAGTACAATAACGTCATTTCGAAGGGCAATATAGTGAAGGCCCAAAAGGTCCAACATTTCACTATATTGCCCGCAGAAATGACATTATTACCACCGTTAATGACCGGGACTGAAACAGCAAGAACATTTTACGCACTGAACGATATCTAATTTCCCGGGGAAAATTGCCGGTCATAAATTACATTCTTGACCGGCAATATTGACCACCGCTATGACGTCACATATTCCTCAGGTCGATATAGTAAAATGAATGCCTTCTAAACTAGCACTAATTGGCTCGGCAAGGTGGTTATAATACGTCTTCCTCTACATGCAATACTATTCTACATTATTTTAACTAGAAAATATGTGAATGTCCCAATTTTTCGGCCTAGCCTGTATGTCTTTCTTTCTTAGAGAAATTCTTTATTTTGGATATTTTGCGGAAAGACTGGAAATTATCAGATCCTGCAAACTGTTTGATATTGACTGAGAAGAACAATGTTGACGAATCGAAGCATTCAACATATCCTCCGTAATCTTCGTTAATGGAGAAACTCACTGAAGTACGTCTCGATAATTCATCACTGTTTTCATATTGAAAACTATAATAGGAAATCTACAACGATACAAAGCAACCAAGTCTGCTATAAATCCACAAATCGACGCAAATCAAATACAAATATCACCATATTGAATCATTTTTTTAGCACTGGATGACCTTTTCAAGAGAAGACACAATACGGGGGTAAATAATTAGTATCTTAGCAACGAGAAAGCGAACAGGTTGTAAATGTTCTCATCGGTAATTTCAGTTAACTATGGCTAGTAAATTTACCATACGCCATGTCAACATGCTGTTACATGGAATATGCCATATATTGATGGTCGCGCAGTATTTGTGAAACAGGTGGATATGCCAAACTGATCACCTGCGGAATATGGCATATTCCATCGGGGAGTATGGCATATTGCGCAGTAAATAATCCGATACATTGATGTCAGTGAATACCCGATATACACTCCCCTCCATAACTTTATTTAACAAAAGTGATATGTTTCTTCAGGTTCAACAAAGTTATAGGGCTTTAAAGTCAAAATTGTTTGTAAAAAACCTCTCCCATTGAAATAACACAGGAGGCGAAAAATTATTTTCAAAAATGACTTTGAAGCGCTGTAACTTTAATATTCATCAAATAAACTAAACACTTACTGTACAAAAAGTTAGACAAGTCAATTTTCTATATAAAAATATTTTTTGCTGAATCTTTTACTGAAAAGATATCCTGATTTCTGATTTGGCCCGAACCCTCCATTTCCCATTGGATTACATGGGAATGACGATTTTCATTAATTCATCAAAATCATCAATTTTTGACGTATTGTAATTTAGGAAAAAAATTGAGAAAATTTGGAGGTATTGGAAATAAAGTCAAGTTACGTTTCCCTCAATATTATAAGTTATTTCATCGAAGGTTAAGTAAATAAAAATTCAAACGTAAAGAGGCTTTAACACGTAGTTCAATGGGGGAGCTAAGGTTGCCAAACTTATGGAGGGGAGTGTACATCCGCAGAATATGCGTACTCACCTGCGGTATGTGGCATATTTTCGACAGAGTTACTATTCTAGAATTCTTTGAGTATGTAAATATGACATTTAAATTGATACATGTGGTATGTATGGAAGCAAGCCAAATATTGCAGTATGGCAATATTTTGATCACCCTATACAGTATAGCTATCACTAGGCGTCATAAATAAAACAGAATTTCCGGCGATCACAATATTCCAGGTTTAATCAGATGTCGCCGCCAGTGCAATCGTGGCTGAGACCATAAAAATTCATTTTGATATATATATACTGTATCAGTATAACAATGTCATGTCTATCTTTCAACCAGAAACGGGTTTCTAGAATGGAATTAATAGAAAGCCATGAAATCTTATAATGGTTAAACTCTTCGAATACAACTCCACCATCAATTCCAATTATTACCACATTGCCGGGCCAGTTCTAGGGGTTTTAGTGCTAGTTTAGAAGGCGTTAATTTTACTATATCGACCTGAGCAATATGTGACGTCATAGTGGTGGTCAGGAATGCATTTCAGACCGGTCGAGAATGCATTTAACAACCGGCAATTTTCCCCGGGAAACTAGATATCGTTCAGTGCGTAAGATTTTCTTGCTGTTTCAGTCCTGGTCGTTTACGGTGGTAATAATACTAATAACGTCATTTCTGCGGGCAATATTGCCCTTCAAAATGTCTTTATTGTACTATTGCATGTTCTTACAAATCACAAATATTCAAGTGTTAAAATGGAGTCAATGTCAATTGACGACGTGTTGTTTTTTTACTGGCCTGAGTTTGTACTTTACGAAACATTTAAAAAACTATTATCAAAGCTATACAAGAAAGAAATGGTCAAACGATTGTACATTTTATTTAATCTATACAATGGAGTGAAGAAAATGACATGTTTTTCAATTAGTACTGTATTTGCTAATTTTTAACTTGTTTGCTAAAGTCCCAGGAATTCAAATAATCAAACACTTAAAAAAATCAAGGACAAACAATTGTTTTGAAAAGATTTTCAACCTTTAAATCATGACAAATAATATTTAGATAAATCATGTTTCCAATCTTTGCATGGTACCTTTATTTTGCAAGGACCGTTTGATGTTTACTGTCCAATATCAATGCTCCTGACACTATAAGAACGAAACCAACCAATGTGAAATACAGGGTGGTCAAAAAAAATGGAAACCCTTACACCATTTTCCTCATATATTTGTCATTTTAAGAAATAACTTCTTGATATTTTGTACATTTGTACATTATTCAATTTCATACCAGCCTACTTCATTTCATGACCATCGAATTGATATTAACAATGTTACAGCACTTTACAGAACAGCCCTAGTGGCCACTATTGTGCTGTCGGGCCACCTGCACTCCCTGTCCAAAATGTCCCTACCTGTAGGGTTATTGCAAGGAAAAAGTGTATGAGAAAGACCTCAGGACAATCACAAACCTAAAAAGTGAGATCATCCGTATCATTCAGGCCATACCTGCTGAGGAATGCATTCGGCCCATTGACAACTGTGCAGGTTTGCCTACAGCGCGATGATGGCCAAAATTGAAGCATGTTATTCAAAGTGCTGTAAAATTGTGACTATCAGTCTGATGGTCAGGAAATTTGGTAGGGTGGTAGGAAATTGAATGATGTACAAATGTGTGAAATATCAGGGAGTAATTTCTTAAAATGATAAAGATATTAGGAAAATGCAGGGTTTCCATTTTTTTGACCACCCTGTACAATGCAAATACAGCGAAATGTATCATTATTCTTTTTATTGAATCTATATGTTGAATTTGTTGCCATGTCTATGATAAATTTTACAAAAATAATCAAATTCACTAAAATGTGTTTTAATGTATTTGAATGCCGGGGCCTCTCTCAAAGACATCTTAGACACTGTCTATAGCCATTCGTTCTTTGTTCATGGAAATTCCCTTTTTTGCCTCCGCCTAGAAAATGTTTCACACTCATTAACTTAAATTCTTGGCGATCCTGAGTACTTTTAAAAAATGTTGGTCACTTTCACACTTGACTAATAACCACATGGTTGAATGTTTTTTGGGTTAAATTACGTTTTTCCAAGAGTAGTTTTTCCAATGTAGTAGTTCAGTATAATTCAGTTGATGCGACATCTATCTAAACCCTTGACTAGCGGTATTTGTTTGTTGTAAGCACATTTTATAAAATCAATAGCAACGATCAGAAAAGGGCGTCGACTTTTGCCAATCAACCGAAGATACCTCAAGAAAAGCCGGAGATTGCCGAAGATTGCCGAAGCTTTTCTTTGCAAACGAAGTTGGCCGAGGGAACCACGAATGTTAAGAGGACGTCTCTAATTGGTCAAAAATAGGGGCTCGGCATTCTCCGTCAGATTGAATCGGCAAAATTCGGTTGTATGGCTTACCTTCGGTTGTATGGCTTACCTTCGGCTGCAAGGCCCAACCTCGGTTGATTGGAAAAGATGCTGTCCCGATCAGAAAATGGCCATAAAGGGCAATTGTAGAAAAACGCAAAATGATACAGAACCTATAACCCAATTACATCGCATCGGGTTAATACAAGGGAAAGATCAATACCCGGTGATTTCAGCGGGAAGTGGCGTTTCGTTCATTGGATGAGCTGCGCGCGCACGCATAAATGTGATTATCCAATATAATTAGGGGAGGGCT